TTGCAACAATCCTCCTGCCTCAGCCTCCCAAGTGCTGGGATTACAGGTGTGTGCCACCAGGCCCGGCTAGGGTCTTTTCATCTTAAACCACTGGCACTATTTTGAACCTCTGGTCCCAGGGACAGTCTGATGCTGTTATCTGCAGCTCTGTCCAGTTATCCAGGTGGCCTGCATGAGGCTGAGTCTGATTTTTCCTTGGTGCCTTCTGACCATTCCTCCTCCTCAAGGAGATGAGTTTAGACAACAGCCAAGCTCATGCCAGGTCAGTGACTAACTTAGCTATCAACATGCACATGAAAACTAGAAGTTAAACCCGGCTGTGCAGGGTGGTCTTTGCACACTGGCCCTTGCTAGCTGAAACATCTTATAGCACCAGCTCTCATTTATGCTTTACTTCCTCTGACAGACATTAGGCTAAGCACTTTACAGGTATTTCCTCATGTAATCCTCTTAACAGTCCTCGGATGAAGTTGATGCCCAGCCAAGGGTTGTAAGGTGGATTTAGCCTGACGCTGACCCCAGGGCCTTGCGGCGGGGGTGTGTGTGTGTGTCTGTGGTCTGAAGAATGGCTTGGTTGACTGGGCAACCAGGGCTTTCCTGGGAAGGCTGGGCCTGCTGGGAGTGGTGGTGCATGCCTGTAATCCCAGCACTCAGGAGGCTGAGGCAGGGGGATTGTTGTGAGTTCGAGGCCAGCCCAAACTGCATAGTGAAACCCAGTCTCAAAAGGCAAAAAAAAAAGCTCAGCCTGTAACCTTTGCAGCTCTGCCATTGACGAAGTTGCCACACCTCTGTCCAGGCAAGGCCTTTGGCCTGAGTGGCACAGCGCATTCTGTACGTTGCCCTTGAGCAACTTCAGCCTTAATCGTTTGTGCTGTATTTTCCCTGCCTCTTCCCATTTGCTTTTGTAAGGAAATTAAAAGTAAAGAACTCGTGTTTTCCTGGTTAATACCATTATCACTAATACTGGACTTGATTACTGCCCAGGTTCTTCTTGAAGCAAGTGAAGCCTTTTATGTTTTGGTGCTGGGACTGAACCTAGGGCCTTCGCTAAGTGCAGGTCTGCTGCAGAGTTCCACTCCCAGCCAGTAAAATGAGGCCTTAATGCAGAGCCCCAGTCCTTCCTTTGGGACGACTGTTCCCTGGGTTGTCCGATCTTATCATCTGTATTCTTGAGGGCTGGCAGAAGTAGCCCATTTCTGTGCAATTCAGCTAATCGCTCCAGGCCAAGAGATGCTTCCATAGGCTTTGTTAGCGGAAGGGGTAAAAAATAAGCTGTTAGAAAAGGGTACAAAAGTGAAATTAATATTTGACATATCTTAGTAGCAAAGAAGGGATGAAGTAGGTGTTTTGCTTTGGTTTTTGAGACAGGATCTCACTATTAGCCCGGGCTGGCCTTAAACTCATGAACTCATTGCCTCAGCCTCCTGAGGGCTGAGGTTACAGGCACCTGGCACCACACCTAGCTAGGATGAAGTAGCTGGTAGTGGGCCGTGAGACCTGACAAACACGTTTGTGCCAACCCAAGGAAGCAGGTCCTGGGGTGAGGGATTGGTTTGAACTTTGTAAGAGGAAAGAACAAGAGGTCACAGTTCTGCCGATGATGAGATGTGCATTTTTTTTTCTTTTTTTAGGTTTTTTTTTTTTTGGTCTTTTTTGCGACAAGGTCTCTCTATGCAGTTCAGGCTGGCCTTGAACTTTGTAGCCCAGGCTGGTCTCAGACTTGCGGCGATCCTCCTGCCTCAGCCTCTGGAGTGCTTGGATTACAGGCGTGCGCCACCACGCCCCGCTAGTTTTTTATTTTAAGAATAAAAAAAAATAACAAAATAACAACATAGACATAAAACAAAGCAAAAAGAATAAAAACGATACAGAGTTTTGAAACAAAATGATAAGAATTAACAGTGGTTGTTTTGTTACCTATTATTTTCAACAAAGTTGCTCACATTACCAGATGTAAGAATGCAAGATTTATCAAACTATTAAAGAGAATAAAAAAAAAAAGAAAAAAAAACATTAGAAATGATAGTTTCACTAGACAAGATGGTAGGAATTCACCAGTGGTTGTTACGTTGAGATGTGCATTTCTAGGTCCTTGATTTAAAGAAGTTGTACAAATTTTGTGGGCCATTGGGAGCCAAAATGGTTGACTGGGGAAACTTGTGGGTATTTCACTGCTTGGAGCACCCACAGGAACAGGGCAGGGCTGCCAGCCACCAGCGATGGGGCACGGGGCCAGGAGGCTTTCTTAATTAGAGTTCAGCGGGTCGGCCCTGTGATTGCTCCTGCAGCACGTGAGAGCTGGTGGTGATGCAAGCCTGGCTGAGCCAGCTGCTCTCTGGGGCAGCGGCCTTTTAGGTGCCATTTAGGTCACGGGCACACTCTGGAAGGAGTCCACAGACTCGGAAATGGCTTTGTGCACATGGGGCGCAAGGAGGAGTTTGAGGGGTGAAGTGATGAGATTCAACAGGCTGTGCTATTCTGCTGAAAGTTCTATTTGCTTTCTAAATTAGTAACTTTGTGCTACCAGGAGACTCACTGGCAGGGGCAAGGTGCCTGCCTACTCCTCGCTGAATGCCCTGGGCTCAGCCCCTCAAATGGAGTTTAGAAGTTGAAACTTACTTGCCAGGAGGGGATGTGTGGAATGGAGTCCTTGATTTCCTTTCTTTTTTCTCTTCTTGGTCTTCTTTTTCCTTTCCTTTCCTTTCCTCCCTCCTTTTTTTTTTTTTTTTTTTTTTTTTTGAGACAAGGTCTCGCTATGCAGTTCAGGCTGGCCTTGAGCTCACTTTGTAGCCCAGGCTGGTCTCAAATTCACAGTGATCCTTCTGCCTCAGCCTCCCGAGTGCTGGGATTACAGGCATGCGCCACCATGCCTGGCCTCCCTCCCTTTCTTTTCTTTGTCTCATTCTCTTTCAGATAGGGTCTCAACCTCATAGTGACCCTCCTGCCTCAGCCTCCCAAGTGCTGAGATTATAGGCGCACACCACCACACCTAGCATGAGTGCTTGATTTCTCACTTGTGGGCTAGAGAAGTTTAGCTTTGTCTCTTGCCCGCTGTGGGAATAGTATGTCCTTGAGTGCTTACGTCCAAGGGATGTTGCATTTCTTCATTTGCAGGGTAGGGATTAGACATAGGGCTTCAAGCATGTTAAGTGAGTGCTCTACCACTGAATCACAATCCCAGCCCTAAAGGATCTCTTCAAAGGTTCCTGTTTGTCCATGAAGGTCTCCAGAGCCTCCGAGTATGTTAAACAAAAGAGCTCCCTCATGCCAAACTTGGTGGCCCATGGCTATAATCTCAGCACTATGGGAGGATGAGGCAGGAGAATCACAAATTCAATAGTGATTTATTGAGACCCTATCTCAAAGGAGAATAAAACAAGACTGGGATGTATCTCAGTGTGGAGGTCCTGGGTTCAAGCCTAAGTACCGCCCCCCAGTTACCCCTCTTTTGGTGGATTTCCACAGGGGCTGGGCTAATGCAGCAGGTGCAAGTGAGGGAAAGGCATAAATGCAGTATGGGATAAATCTCGGGTGCCAGAAACACAGGGGCTGACGCCCAGCAGCAGGGTTCTGGGTTGGAGAGGTGCAGAGCCCTCCTCCTGGTGCCGGCCTTGCTGAAGCCACGCTGCCTCAGAGGGCGCTCCTGGCTCTGACTGTGGGGTGGCAAAACTCCCCTGACCTCTGCTTCTCCTTGGCTTCTGAGCTCCTGGCTCGGCTCTTGTAGGGTGAACGTGGCGCTCCTGCCTGGGTGCTCGAGGGACCCAGAGACTCCCGACTGCAGGGCAGCGCTCAGTCCAGCTAGGAGTGTGGTCCTGCATCTCTAGCACGGGAAGAAGGGGAGGCTGCTGCTCTCGGCTGCAGATGAACCCTGGCCGCTTTACCTCTGGGCCTGGCCAGACAAAACAGGCTCTGGGTGGGTCTTCTCATTCACGCCAGGTTGCTGCCCAAGCCTTTGGGCTGCTTCTGTGTGGTCTCAGCCATCCCAACCCAGGTTGGTTGTGAAATCTGATGTCATTTTTCCTTCTTCCTTAAATTTCCCAAATTTTTACTGCAAATTGCTAGGAGCGAAAGATACTAGGATAATCCCTGTCGAAGCACGGTGAGGTTAGTATGACTTTGAAGTAACATGTAAAGTCTTGTACCCAGTATTCCTGGCCCCTTTCCCCTTTTCTTTGTCGTTTTGAGGCAGGGTCTCACTATGAAGCTCAGGCTGGCCTTGAGCTCACTTTGTAGCCCAGGCTGGTCTTGAATTTGCAACGATCTTCCTGCCTCAGCCTCCCAAGTGTTGGGATTACAGGCGTGTGCCACCATGCCTGGCTTGGACCCCTTTTTTTAGAGACATTGGAAATAGCTCTGTAAAGAAGTCAGCCAGCGTGCTTAGACCGGGGCACCAGGTCTGTTGCTCACTGGTACCTTCTGGAACCTGCCCGCCTGTTCTCTCTGGTCTGCTAGATATGGAAGAAGCCCTTTTCCGTAGAATGTTGCTCAAATTGCCTGGGTGGCCTTGAACTAGCAGCGATTATCCTGTCTGAGCCTTCCCAGTGCCAGGGATTACGGAAGGTGCCATTGCAGCTGGCTGAGAACTTTTTTTTTTTTTTTTGGTTTTTCTCCGGTACCGGGAACCGAACTCACGACGTTGCGCTTGCCAGGCAGGCGCTTTTGCCGCTGAGCTAAATCCCCAGCCCCCCTGGCTGAGAACTTTTGATTACAGTGTCCATGCTGACTGTAGGCTGTCTTTGTGTTGACTTTGTCTCTCTCATCTCTCCTTCAGCTGTTTTACACAGTGCCTCTTTTACCCCAGGAAAAAGTTTGCTGCCGAAAGACGCTGTGGTCTTTCTGGTACTTGTCCTTCAGTCTGGGGAGCTCTCTGGTGTCTGCTTCTGGTCCCTGGAAGGCCTGCCTTCTCCTCTGCTGAGTTCTTGTTGAATTTAACTAGCACTTAAGGAAAACACCCCATCAGCTGCTGGCGGAGCCTGAGGTCCAAGAGAAAGTTGGCTCCTTCTTCAGTGGGCACTTCATGGTTGGGTTCTTCCTGGCCTGCGGCAGCCCCGATGTGCCTTCCCTGGGCGCTGTTTCTGTCCTCTTCCTCTCTGGCTTCCCAGTGCGGCGTTCCCTGCCTCTCCCATTCCCTCCGCATTCCCATGGGCTTCTCTGGTTGTGGCTGAGCTTTGGCTGTCGACTTGGTTTGAGGTGGAAGTGTGAGAAAGGCCGGGCGTGGTGGCGCATGCCTGTAATCCCAGCACTTGCGAGGCTGAGGATCACTGTGAGTTTGAGGCCAGCCTGGGCTACAAAATAAGTTCAAATGCCTGAACTGCATAGTGAAACCCTATCTCAAAGAAAAGAAACCAACAAAACAAAACACAAAAAAAGGTTTGAGAGTGGGTATGTGTGGCGGGCAGGCTGTGGTCACAGTGGCTGGCACCCAGCTGTGGTGGTTTAGCATGTGCTTTTGGCTGACAAAGCAAAGATGATTAACAGACCCTTGGCCTGATGACCAGTGTAACTTAGGTCAGTTCCACCTGTATCTTTCAAGGTTATTTTTTTGGTGTTAGGATGGAACTCAGGGTCTCAAGCACATCTACCAGTTGCGGTCCTATCCTAAACATTTTTTCGGCTCAATTCTCATCCTAAACATTTCCTATGTATAAAAAGAATATATGCTCACTGAAGCAATCTTTTTCTTTTTTAAACAGTAGGAAAATTTACAGGGAAAAGAATGGGGAATAAGAATAGACCTTGAGAGACAGGAGGGGTCCTGAATGGGTTGCCCTTGTTTGTTTTTTGAGACAGGGTTTCACTGTGTAGTTCAGGCAGACCTCAGACTCTTGGCAATCTCTCTGAAGCAGTCATGTGTTGCGATTACAGACATGTGCTACCACACCTACATATTGGCAACATTTTGTAAATACCTTTCTAGGCTTTTTCCTTTTGCTTTCTGGCAGATTTAGTGGTAGTTAAGAAAGAGGTTTTCACACTGACCCTGACAGCACAGAGCCCGCAGCTGTGTGGGTTGTCTTCCCCTCCCTGGCCGTTTTCGCAGACCATAGTTCCCATAGGAAGCTTTCTCTACTTCCTACCCGTAGGCCGGGGGAATGCTTATTGAGGCTCTGGACAACAGTGCCCTGCTCTGAGGCTGGAGGGTTGGTCCTAGAGGCTTGGAGCTGAACAACCTCCTCCCTTGACCGTCACGTCCGCTTCTCTGCCAGTTACACCACAGCCAATGCCGAGTCGGACTATGAGCGGGACTCTGAAAAGGACAGCGAGGATGGGGAGGATGACGTGAGCTGTGAGACTGTGAAGATGGGGAGAAAGGACTCTCTCGACCTGGAGGTGGAGGCAGCTTCGGACCCAGCGTCTGGTGCCTCGGAGGACGCGGACGCGGACGAGGGCGAGCTGCCCCTCCTGCGCCAGGCTGATGAGCTACACCAGGGCAGAGAGCAGAGCAAGCGGGAGGGCTTCCAGTTGCTGCTCAACAACAAGCTGGCGGTGAGGCTCCGCTTCCCTCCCTCGTCTGACCAGAGATGAAGGCAGGCCCACGTGTTACGCGGGAGGCAACGGGGAAGGACAGCGGGGCCGCGCGGCTGGCTCTGTGTGTGCTGCCTGGGCCGCATCCCCTTCTGTGGAGCCCAGCATGCACCTGGGACAGCGCCCCGGCGGCCCTGGGTTTCCCCGGGCAGGAGGGCGCACTCCTCCACCGCTGTCAGGGCAGTGGGGAGAGGTGCCTGCCCTTCTTGTTTTCCTGGCGGCACAACCTGCCCCTGCTTGAACTTTCTATCACAGTGACACTTGCATAGCCACTCGGGCACAATTCCTTTTAGGCTGACAGAATTTGTGCTAGGTGTGAATCCCAACCACGCCCATCCTCCCATTGGAATTCTTTTCTTGGGCAATTCCTCCCCCGCCGTGTGCCAGCAGGGTGGTGCCTTAGTTTATCTTCTTGGAATTAACTGACCTTCCCTCCTGGCAGTTTTAGGCCAGAATCCTCTCACCATGTGGGGACTGTGCTGCCAGTTAACTGAGTGTACGGAGTTGCAAGGTGGGAAAGCTAACAGCTGGCTTCAGGACAGTGATGACACCGGGCTGGGAGCGCAGACCTGTGCGGTGCGGGGTGGAGGCCAGGGCTCCAGGCCTCCATGGCTTAGGAAGAAGCGCCTCATTCCTTTCTGTTGGGTCTGCAGTATGGAAGTCGGCAGGACTTTCTCTGGCGCCTGGCGCGGGCCTACAGTGACATGTTCGAGCTCACAGAGGAGACCAGCGAGAAGAAGTCCTATGCACTCAACGGTAAGTACTGCCCCCTCCCGGTGGGAAGGGGACCGACTGCAGAGCTGCGGCTGTCCCGTGCGCTTGGGGCCCAGGGAACCACAGCCAGGTTCATCAATAAAGTCTGGCTCCCAAGGACCCTTGTTTCCACCTCTGGATACGGCTCGGTCTGCTTATCTTCACATCCTGGTGACTGAGTGACCCAGGTACACATGATTATTTAAGGAGTAACTGAATTATATTAACATGACTCTTTGTTCTCACTCCCCACCTATGAAGCCTCCTAACAAGGTTTTTTAGTTACGGAGCCCATGGGGCAGGCACTCAGAACAGTCAGTGGGACACACGTGGGCAGCACCTGGGAGAAGCTGTGTAGACCACTGCTAGCATAGAAGTCCTCGGTAACCACCGAGCAAGTCTGTGCTCGGGGCAAGACTGCATCTGACCTGTACCAGGCTTAGGGCTTCGCCGTGTCGACAATCCTGGGACCTTGTGAGACTGATGTGTCCTGCCCAGCCACAACCTTGTGTCAGGGGCTGCCAGTGGACTTGCAGTTGTATGGTACAGTTGATTATCTAAACATAACTATCTCAAGTGGATCTGTCTCCTTTCTCAGCTTTACAAATATTACTGAGTCTCTGATAATATGAATCTGACAACACCTCAAATTTAATGTCTTTAACATTTACAGAATTCTGTTGATGGAGAAAGATAATGAGTTGAATGCTTATTGATACAGCCCCTCAAAGAATCCTTGGAAGCTTTAACACGTGGTGCTTAATTACTATTGCCCCCGCAAAGTCTTGGGCTGGTAGTCAGCTTAGTTCACTGTTATCTATTTCACCCCCTGTAGTTTTTCCAGAACTAAAACCTTTTCCAGTTCAGATTTCTGCTTCTCTAGCATTTTTATATTTCTAAAAAAGATACTATAAAGAAGGCAGATTGTCAAGGCTTTTTCTCTACCTTTTCCAGTGCTGCCTGGAATCAATTTACTGACCACTTCTTTCAAGTCATTTGTTGATACCTCTGGGGTTATGGAGCTGGTTTTGGTAGTGGAGTATGCCTCCCAGCACTGGGGAGGCTGAGAATTGTGAGTTCAAGGCCAGCTTGGGGTACATAGTGAATTCAAGACCAGCCTCAATTATACAGAGAGACCCTGTCTCAAAAGAACCAAACCAAACCAAACCCAAACCCTCAAGTGCTATGATTTCCGTCATCGATCTTCCTGCCTCAGACCTGAGCATAAGACGACTTTGAATTTGGCAGACCTGAGCATAAGACGACTTTGGTATCTAAGAGTTGCCTTTTTATTAAAGCCAACACACACAGAACAGACAAATCAAATAATTATCAGTAGTTATTTTTCCTTTTTTCTTTTTGTCTTTTTGAGACAGGGTCTCGCTATGCAGTTCAGGATGGCTTTTAGTTCACTTTGTAGCCCAGACTGGTCTTGAACTTGCAAGGATCCTCCTGCGTCAGCCTCCCAAGTGCTAGGATTATAGGTGTGTGCCACCATGCCCAGCTTGTCTCAAAAAGAACAAAATACCAAGGGTTGTTTTAAAGAAGAAAGGGTAGTCCTTTAGAGGTAGTTTATTGCCTCCTGGATCAATCCCCAGGACTGCAAAAACAAACAAAATCTTTACTGGGTTATAAGTTCATTTCATTCTACCTCTAGAAGCTGGACCACTAGGAGGCAAGCATTCTGTGTATCTCAGGTAATTTCTGATCCACACCAGTCTGTCTATCCTGGCAGGAACTGGATGTCTAATTCTTGTTAGTATATTTCTAGTGAGAAACTACTTATATCTAGTGTGATAATTTATGCCTGTGATCCCTGCAAGGTAGTACCGTGCTTCAAGAACACTTTTGTTTGCAAACAATTTGGTTCACAAATAGAAGCATTTGGCTAAATCTTGTTTTTGTTTGCAAACTGCACCGAGTGACAAACATTACCACAGTCATCTTTCCCACACAACAAAACATGGCTGTCTTTTCCAAAGCCATAGAACAAATTAAGTTCATGAACTGAAACACTGCCATTGTACCTGAGAGGCTAAGGCATGAAGAACAAGACTTCAAGCTCAGCCTGGGCCATAAGGCTAAAACCCTGTCTCAAAAACTGAAAACAAAGCTGGGCATGGTCACACATCTTATAATTCCAATACTGGTAGGCTGAGGTGGGAGGATTGCAGGTCTGAGTCCAGCCTGGGCAGTTTAGTTAGTTGATGAGACCCTGTCTGAAAGTTTGAAAACAAAATTCTAAAACGGCACAGGATGTGGGTCAGTGAGAGGGCCTGGCTTCAGTCAATCCCCAGTACACCACCACTACCACCACAAAAAAAGTGTGAAGTGGACACAGAGAAATACATTTAAAGGCAGCATCCCTTATTAGGTAGCCTACATATTACACCCTCAACATATTACACTTGTTCTATTTTCTCTACATTCCTTTCTAAGCCCCCCGTTTTAACCATCATGTTTTCTTCTGTGCAGACATGATGGAAGGTCTGGAGGTGTAGAGGCTGAAGCCACCTTGATACTCCAGCACAGTGATGGCGAACTGTTTAGAGACTGATCGCCCAACTGCAACCCGAAACCCACTTACTGGGCCGGGGATATATAGCTCAGCGGCGTAGCACCTACCTGCCAAGTGTGAGGTCATGAGTTTTGTTCCCTGTTCCACATACACACACAAAAAAAACCCCACTTACTTACTTGATTCACTTAGATTTATTCAGTGCTAACACTGGAGTTAAACCTGAATAGAGGTTTTAGTTTACAAAAAACAAATACATTGGCACAAGCATTTTTCTTTTAAGATAAAAGATGCTAAAGGTTCACCACCACTGCTCTAAGGGACCCCTCTGTCAGGAGCTTTCAAGTGTTCACGTTTCCTTGTTTTTTTGTTTTGTTTTGTTTTGTTTTTTGTACCGGGAATTGAACTCAGGACCTTGCACTTGCCAGGCAGGCACTGTGCTGCTGAGCTATATCCCCGGCCCTCCTTGTAAGTTTTAGTGCCTAGAAAAGTTGGTAAGACTGAGCCAAAGCCACCTCCGGACCTTGGTCCATCTTGCTCTTGTCAGAGGGTGCTGGTGAGAGCTGGGGGTGCAGCTCAGTTGTAGAGTGGTTGCCTAGCGTATGTCAGACTGTGGGTTTGATTCCCAACATGGCCTGGGGAGTGGGCATGGGAGTTTATGCTTGTTTTGGCTTAGAGCTGCAATAAACATTCACGGGTCTTTTTGAGAATTGTATCAAAGCTTTAACTCCTTTCCACAATAAAATGCATACAGCTACATATAGCTAAAGTTTTATGTAACTTTGGAGTGATTCATACAGTTTGGTTACTGCTGGTACCTGTAACTTTTGTAATGCCAGTTCATATTTCAGTCCCAACGCCGGCAGTGTAGCGAAGGGAGTTTAGACTGCTGAGACGAGAGATGGGTGGCCTAAGGGAGGCAGGAGGAATCCCTGAGAAGTTGTATGCCACTTTTCATCCCGTGCAGATTCACAAACTATTTCTAAACAAGTCCAAGTTGGGTACGGAATGCTGAGAGCCAAAGTGACCATTTTTGGGGAAAACTTTCTGTGGAAGCGTGCGTGGAAGTGCATGTTAATGCCACATTTACCTTTGTCTTTCAGGAAAAGAGGAAGCGGAGGCTGCTCTGGAGAAGGGGGATGAGAGTGCCGAATGTCACCAGTGGTAATAACACTGCACAGGGCTCTGTCTGGGAGGAGCCAGGAAGGGCCAAGCTGAAGCCTTTCTTCTCTGCCTTGGTCAGAGGCATTTGCCAGAGGAACCAGAAGGGGGAGCTCTAGTTTCTATGCCTTACCCTTCCCTGGTCAACAAAAATTTTGGATATTTTGCAGAGGGGTGTGGAGCACAAGCTTTTTTTTTCTGCTGGGAGAAATGAGTATTTTTTGTCAGAATCATAATCCCAGCACTTGGGAGTTTGAAGCCAGCTTGGGCTACATAGTGAAACCCTGCTGCAAAATAATAATAAATTCATTTTGCCGTAAAACTTGTGGGTTCTTGGCTCCTCGATGCTGGGACAACTCACAGCTCCCCTGCCCTGCACAAGCTTTTCTTTCCCTAAGCTGCTATCCCTGGCTGGTGGTAAGCTTTGGCTTCTTTGCTTGGTTTGCATGAAAAACACTGGATGTGAGCTCACTACCAGGAAGATCAGTGGTTAATTTATTAGCTTACTTGGCTGTAGCTGTACCTCAGTGGTAGAGCTCTTGCCTTGTGAGGCCCTCGTTTCCACCCCCAGCACTACCAAAAAAAAAAAAAAAAAAATCAAAACCACGATACTGCAATATAGAGTTCTGCCAAGTTGCATGGCCCAGGGCTAATCCATGTCCTAGGGCCAGTTTTAGTGAAAATGTTCCTTTCTTGTTCTGCCCTCAGACTGAGCCAAGTAAGTGAGAGGCTGTGTTTTTCCATTTGTTGCTGTAAGATATCTTCTCAGAGGCCAGGGAACTTTCTAGGGTGTCACTGCCTCCCTGGGATCCCAAGGATGAACTCTGGTCCATACTTTCTTAGGTCTCCCTGAAGAGTGTCTGGACTAAACATGGAAATGAGCCTCTAGAAGTGCCTGATAGGACTACCCCCAGCTACTTAGCAAATCCATAAACAAGCAACATAGGTTTTGCCTGGTTAGACACTTACTAATGTCAGCTTTTTCTAGGAACAACACTGAAGGGATGAGGCAGTAAGGCTCTTGGTGTGGTTTTGGTTTTTTTTTGGTAGTTGCTGGTATTTTAACCCAAGGTTTTAAACTTGAACATCGTAGCGCTCTACCATTGAGCTACATCCCTGGCCCCCCGTAAGACTTTTTTTGTTTGTATTTTTTTCCGGTACCCAGAATCGAACTCACGACCTTGTGCTTGCCAGGCAGGTGCTGTGCCGCTGAGCTAAATCCCCAGCACCCCCCTCCCCCTGTAAGACTTTATGGAAGATAAGAATACAGGAAGCTGGCTCACTGGGTCCCCTGGACATCTGGAGGAAAGGGCTAAAATAGTTCCTTCTTTCCCTTCTGTTGGTTCCCAAGTCCGTGATGAAGCCATGTACTGTCACAGCTAAGACGAGCCTCTTTTAGTGTCTGCTCGTAAGACTGAACATGTGCTCAGGTCACTTTCAGTTTGATACTAATTATTAGAGTACTTGCTTTTTAAACCCCGCACCCCCAAACTGGGTGCTGGGCCAAGGCTTCACTCACGCCAGGGAGTCACACCACTATTGAGCTTCCCGCCAGCCCAGGTTTCCAAGTTTTTGTGACACATGTGGCTGCGCTCTTATCGAGAAAGTGAAATTTAGAGATTGATTGAAACCTTAAATATTCTTAAATGTAATGGGGAGTTTTACTGTATGCAGGGGAGCAGGTTTGTATACTTAGAGTACTTTGGAGAATTTGAAGCCTACATTGTGTTCGCTAACTGCTAACTGGGCCTGCAAATCCGTGAGGACTTATATCCAGATGAAAACATTTTCAGCCCTGGTTGAGGATGGAAGGGAAGTGGGCACTGCAACTGGATCGTGGGTGGGGCATCTGCTTCTCAGTCATAGTACCTGGTTCTTGTCCCTGAGCTTGCTGCTGCTTCCCCTTTAGGTATGCAGTGCTTTGTGGTCAAGTGGCTGAGTGTGAGGGCATCCAGAAGCGCATCCAGAGTGGCTTTAGCTTCAAGGTGAGAACCAGCTTCTCCTTTCCTTGCGCGAGGTTAGTCCAGATCTGCTTTCCCTGGTTCCCTTAGCTCAATCTTTTTTTTTTTTTTTTTTTGGTTTTTTGCTGGCTATGTAGTTCAGGCTGGCCTCGAACTCACAGATCCTCCTGCTTCAGCCTCCTGAGGGCTGAGATCACAGACATGCACCGGTTCCCTTAGAAGAGCATAGCCACAGCCTCTGCGCCTTGATGCTCTTCCCTGAGCAACTCTGGTCTGATTTGGTTTATGTTTTCCCCTCAGGAACACGTAGACAAAGCCATTGCTCTCCAGCCAGAAAACCCTATGGCTCACTTTCTTCTTGGCAGGTGGTGCTACCAGGTGAGCTGTGTTTCAGGCCTGACAGAATGGTCCCAAGTGTCCTGTAGCACTGACCAGGGTCCTCAGCTTCCTGAGCCTGGTCTGGCTCAGGTCCCATTTCCTCCAAATATCTGTCTTAGTAGCGGCTGATCCTGTTTGCACCATAGAATACTCAATATTCTGCAAGGTATTTCTTAAACCTTTTCACATCCCGATCTTTTGGTGGCAGGTCTCTCACCTGGGCTGGCTAGAAAAAAAAACGGCTGCAGCTTTGTTTGAAAACCCTCTCAGTGCTACTGTGCAGGATGCGCTCCAGAGCTTCCTAAAGGTATCAGGAAAGGGAAGGGAAGAGCAGGTGCTCAGGTAACCTTGTTTATTACTGGAACCCCTAATGGGCGGGGATGCTGATATGGGGCAATTTTGTTTGTTCTGTGAGGAAAATCAACCACTGGGAGAATTTACACAGATAAGAGATTTCTGGACCCACTGAATCCATCTCCTGGTTGGGACTGGAAATCACTCATAAACATCAGCATGACCTGAATTTGGGAGCCTCTTAACGAGATGCCTTCCTCCCTTCTCCAGGCTGAAGAACTACAGCCAGGGTTTTCCAAAGCAGGAAGGGTGTACATTTCCAAGGTAAACTCACCAATCTCAGCACAGATGCTGATAGTGTTTATGGGAACTTCGTGTGTGTGCGCATGTGTCTTGGGAATTGAACCCAATGCCATGTACATGCTGAGCAGGCAGAAATACTGGGAACTATTCTTTTGTTCTTGTTGATGGTGGTGGGGATCAAGTGCAGCACCGCTGCTGCATCCACCCCTCGCCTTCTGGCAACTCTCAGAAGCATACACATTCCCGCCCTATTGTCTCCTGGTGTTATTTCTCCCAGATTTTCATTGCTATCTCTTGTCAGTGCTATAGAGAACTTGGAAAAAACTCTGAAGCTAGAAGGTGGATGAAATTGGCCCTGGAGCTGCCAGATGTCACTAAAGAGGTAATTCTGTTTAAAAGTTTTTAAAATACTGGGCTGTACCACTGAGTCATCATGTGACCTTTTCAACAAAGCACATTTTCTTCTGAGGTCTTATTTCCCTGGGAAGAAGCTTAACCCTTCACATAGGATCTCTTTATATATGTTTCACCCAAGGGAGGTCACAGAGTTCCTAAGAGCTCTTTCCCCTGACTATCTGGGAAAGTAAGAGAAAAACTACAGATAGCAGACCTCAACGAGGGAAGCAAAGGGGATGAGTGGTTTGGAAAAAGTTAAGCTTAAGTACTAGATTTTTTTCTTTTTCTTCCTAGGATTCATCATTCCAGAAAGACTTGGAAGAATTGCAAGTAGTTTTAGGGGAATAATCACATTTCAATGGCCTTCGAGTCTTGAGGGAGACCATTTAGACCCTGCTTTGATCAGGAAACCGAGCAACACGGGCAAGGGCTTAGAGTTGCCCTGACTACCCACTACCATTCCTCAACATCTTGTGTATTATCTCTCTTAATTTATTCTAATCTGTTACCTAATCTCAATTTGGGGAAGTACTTGTAGCTGAGGCTTCCATTGTTCTTCCTCTTCAGGAAATTATTGGAAAACCAAGGCTTAGTCTGGCAGTTGCTTTGGGATTAAGGATAGGTGAAGTCTTGAAGGCTGCTGGGAGGATAAGGTCACGCATGGCACTGCCCTCCAGCGGCTGGTGAGGTGGGTTGAAATTCAAAGAGCCACAGAACCTGTCATTCTAATCTTTTTCACTGATTGAATATCTGACCTATATCTAGCCCTAAGAGCACACCCTACCTATCAGGACACAGGAGCGGGTCAGAGAAGCCCATTTATCTCCTGTCATTTGGATTCTACCTGTACTCCTGGGCTGAGCGAGGGGCTGGACCAGTTGACTCCCAGTATTCTGGCAGCTTTTGGAATGACAGCAGTGGCGTAGAGTTTATGATAATGTGAAACAATGGTCTGAAGAGTTGCCTGGAATATATTTTGGTACACGACTGAAATAAAATGAATTTAATTAAGAACAATGTTATCTTTTTTCTCTTTTTTTTGTCTTTTTGAGGCAGGGTGTCGCTACGCAGTTCAGGCTGGTCTTGAACTTGCGATGATCCTCCTACCTCAGCCTCCCAAATGCTGGGATTATGCGCCACCACGCCTGGCCTTTCTCTGTTTTAGTTATCAACTCTTTATTTAACAGCTCTGTGATTGTTTCCTCCTATAGAGGAAATTGAAGGTTATAGAAAAACAGTTGCTCCAAATACTTCATGTTAGAATAAGACCTGTTGCAACTGAAGTCCCCCTGTCCCTCTTGGTTCATTTTTAGCACTAACAGCACAAAGCCTAAGTCCACCTTAGAAAGATTAAGGCAAGTATCTAGGTCACAGTCACTTAAATATCTTACAGGACTGTAAGTTTGAGGTGCCCTTACATAAGAACCAGTCTTTCACTCCAGAATGTCATGTGGCTTTATTATAGCAACCCAAGTTTATGCAAACAAAAATACCTGAGATACATTCAGTTTTTAGAGTAAAATAATTTTTGTTGCCCAAAACCTAGGTAAAGTTTCTGGATGGTTGCTGAACACTTTGGGTAAGATCTAGATTAGAAATCCCTACTAGTGAAGATGCCTCAGCCTCTGAGAGTGGCTGGGACTAAGGTGTGCACCACCATACCTAGCCAGTTCCCCTGAAGCCAGGGAACGGAGCTGCTTTTACAACAAAGCTGCAGTAAATTGATTTGTGTCGTCTTATTTCCTCACAGACGGGGGATCAACATATACAGCAGACCTTCAGTGCTTCTCTTCCCTATACTAGCTGAGAGGGCCTCTGAAATTAAAAAGCTGTTTAAAATTCATCTCAAGTAGCGAAGTATGAAAGGGAAGAAGAAAAGTATTTCAAACTTCTGAAGTAGGATGATACGGAAAAGTGCCACACTTCAACATAAGACAGGATAGAATCGAAGGCCATAGCTGGGGGCAGTGGCACGTGCCTATAATCCCAACAATCTGGAAGCTAAGGCAGGAGGATACCTTGAATCTAGGAGTTCAAGATCAGCCTAGGCAACACAGAGATCCTATGTTAAAATATCAAAGGCCACAGGAAATCTATGATAAGCAGTCAGATAATACTTTCTGTTACAAAAAGGATACAAGCTCAATCATCTGAAGGTACGTCCTCTTTTTCAGCTTTCAAATCTTTTTTGGGGAGGGGTTAGGGGAGACAGGGTACTGCTATGTAGTTTAGGCTGGCTTGAACTCACTGTGTAGCTCACACTGGCCTCAAACTTCCAGCAATTGTCCTGCCTCAGCCTGAAATTACCAAACACCTGACGAGTTCTTACATCTCAAAGCAACAGAAAACTGATCACCACTACCCAATGATAAAACGATACTAAGGTAACCCTATCTTGAAGTATTCAGCTTGTACTAGAATAACTCCTACAAAAAGTACATTGGTACAAATAACTACATTTGCAGCCTCACATCAAATCTGCTTACTTAGCCTCTGAAATGCTTCAGATTCCAGAATTACATTCAGTTTTACATTAAGAAAAAGTCCAAGCAAGCAGATGATGAAGGGATGATGGCCCTTTAGGCCTTGTGCAAGACTGCTTAACTATAAACAAGTTTTCACCTGAGAGTTCAGGCATACAACTTTAGAACTTGCTTCTCATGGTAAGGGGTAGTTTTACAGGTAGAGAAAAAGTATCTGTGAAGAGACCTATTTCCTATTCCCTTGGCCACAGATCTCAGGCATTTTAGTTTATCGTTAGAAGTGAAGAAAAGTCAGATCTCCCCAGCTTTAGTTCTCCTGGAGACCCAAGACTCCAACAGACAGCTAGCAGGCCTGAGCCAGTTAGGCCCAAGGCACTGTCAAAGGCATTTCATACTTGTCCAAACACCAAAGAAATCCCAGAGATTATCACACTCCAGAAGGAACAAACAGATCAGTTTGTGAGTACTGACCTGTCTCCTGTTTACACCATCAGAAAAGCTGATACAATAGCTGTTGTCCCAGAAGCCCTGTACTACAGTCATAACAGGAAGAGGCCTGTGAGGAGCTCCAGGGAGCAGTCCTCACCATTAGGCTGCAGCACTTAAAGTTTACCACAGGGAAAAAAACAGTGATTCAGTCTTTGGCATCTCCCACTCCATCCGCATTGATGGCAAACATAGCTTCAGCTTCAGGAAGACAGGGAGAGTCATAGATCTTGCAGATTCTGGTTTCCCCCCTTCCCTTCCTCAGGTACAGCCTGATCCAAAGACAGAGACCAAAACGTCAAGTTAGTATAATAATTCTATTTCTGATAGCTGACTTTTAAAAATCACAATATTTATCAGTTTACATTATTTTGCAGAAGGACTTTAGGGATTTTAGTGTTTTTAATGCACTTCCAACCTGTAGGAATCCATTTCTGCCCTGATCCCTCTCACTGGAATGCTCATTTTGAAATATTTTTTTTTTTACTGTCGAGAAGCACATCAATTATTTATCTTCATCTTCCACAGGAAAGGGTGTTTAACTCCTTTATGAACTAAAAGCAAACATGTCTATCAATGAGAACAGGACAATTAGATTTAGCTAGAGTTCCTAAGTATTGATTATACAACAGCAGCTTTATAGAGCTTAAATGGAAAAGTTTTATCTTCATTTCTGCATCGTAGTTAATATGAGGTCTGCTCCAAGCAGCAGCAATGATGCCACCTCCTTACCTGGTTGTTGATGCATGAGCAATGATGTTTCCTCCAATAGGTTTTTTAGGATCTGCAGCAAACATGGCTGCCCCATCCACTTGGGCTACCACCTGGTTGGTGATTACCACAGCTACACCGAACTGATGGGGAAAAAGGACATCAGTTTTGTGGCCACAGACACTCCCAAAAACTTTATGTGGCCACTACCAGTAGCCGCACCCCCCCTCCCCCCGGCAACAAAGCAGTATTTTTCTTTTCTAAATTAGTAACTTGATACTATTAGGCATTAATATGTGACCTTTCAGCAAGGAAGGCTCCTGGAATTTGTGGGCACTGAAAGTAGCCTCTCTACCCCTTCCCAGCAACTTACCTCATCAGCAAGTCGCAGAAGCATCCGAAGAAACCTGGCCAAGTGCATCTGCCTAGCTGAGAGCTCGCCTCGGCCTGAGTAGTCTGTTCTGTAGAGGGCAGTGGCACTGTCTACAATAAGCAGTGCATACCTGTAGGGAACAATAATTCTCTGAAGCCTGTTTCTAGCCTGTGTCGGATTCTGCTCCTTTCTCTCACCACCTAAAATCCCACACTGTTCCACTTGTACAGAATACAGCTGTTTTAGAAAATATTTGTGTATCATTCACATTTGACTCATGATTAAAAAGTTGTTTTCTCTGGGGGGATGGAGATGGAACCCCAGGCCTTCTGTGTGCTCAGCAAATGCTCTACTGTTGATCTATACTCCTAGGTTTTTTTTTTTTTTTTGTACTGGGAAGGCAACTCAGGACCTTGTGCTTGCCAGGCAGGCGCTTGTGCCACTGAGCTATGTCTCTGGCCCTGGCTTTTTTTTTTAAGTAAATCTTTCTTTTTTTCTTTTTTTTTTTTGAGACAGGGTCTCACTATGTAGTTCGGATTGGCCTTGAACTCACTATGTAGCCCTTGAACTCATGGTAATCCTCCTGCCTCAACCTCCTGGGTGCTGAGATTATAGGTGTGCACCACTACACTGGCAGCTTCATTTTTCATTAATGATTTGACCCAAAACACAAAATAGGAATGAAAATTTAACTGTTTCTAAGCTATTCAGGAAAAGGCACTTTAGTGCCTTCTGTTGTACATACCTGGACTCGACCATCATGGCAGAAGCTTGATAAAGCAGCTGGGTCTGGTGGTCTGTGTTGAACCCACGAGCATATGCAACATTGTCCAAAACATCACTGCCAGAGAGACCATACCTAAAAAGAACATTTCTAGGCTGCACACACAACTCAAGTAGATGAGAAATACATCTCTTAACACTTAAAATTACCTAGATGGATAGGTAAGAAATGATGCTGACTGTGCTTTTAAGGCCCAAGAATATAATTCTCTTTGTATTAGTAAGTTCAGGTCAACTATCCATTGAGAGATGACAGCAGCAACTACTCTAAAGTAGATCTACCTGCCAATACTTTAGGATTCGTAGCACTTGGAGGCTCAGGAGGACAACTGTTGTGAGTTTGAGATCAGCCTGGGCTACAAAGTGAGCTCAAAGTCAGCCTGAACTGCATAGCAAGACCCTGTCTCAAAAAGACAACCAAATCAAACCAAACCAAAACTTTAGAATAAATTTCTTCTTTGATGTCCCAGCCTGGGCACCTTAGCAACTTAGACCCTTTCTCAAAATAAAAAATGGGCTGTGAGAGTAGCTAAGACCCTCAGGTCAATTTCGAGTACTGCCAAAAATTAAGAAAAAATTTAAAAAAAAAAAAAATCAAGAATTTATAGCAGAAAACTCAAGAGGTTGGGGCTGGGATTTAGCTCAGCGGCACAGCACCTGCCTGGCAAGCGCGAGGTCATGAGTTATGATTCCCAGTACTGGAAAAAAAACCAAAAAAAAAAAATCAAACCTCAAGAGGTCTAAGTACTACAGAAGTCTTTTAGTTTTGCCTCAGAAAAGAGTGATACATTATATGAGAAACCCAAAACATAACTATACACCAAAATAAAAGGTAATAGGGGGCTGGGGATTTAGCTCAGCTGCACAGCGCCTGCCTGGCAAGTGCAAGGTTGTGAGTTCGATTCCCGGTACTGGAAAAAAAAAAACCAAAAAAAAGGTAACAGGAAAAACGGAAGAGGACCAAGAGATGGAGGGAACAAGGAGGGAGGAGAGGGGAAGCAGACAAAAAAAGAACTAAGATGTGTTTTGTACATGAATTACGAACTGCAAACACGTACTAATGAAAAAAAACTGGAAAAAAAAAAAAAAGAGATAATGTAATTTACTATCAGAAAAAGATTTTTTGCTACCAGAACATGGACAGTTCATCAGGAAAACAGAATTATCCTAACTTCTCTCACAAGACCATGCGGGGGATCACTATGTTCTGGCTCCAGACTTTGGAAAATGTTAGCTGGACATAATATCTTTTCTCACAGTATTTTATGACCTTCCTTAATGATTAGAATAACTTGCAATACCTGTGAAAAAGCGAATTCTGGGGCATAACCCACCCTCAGAGAACCAAGATGATACAGGAGGTCTGGTAAAAAAAGAGTGTATGTTTGGCAAAATATCTCAGGTTACTCTTAACATGTAAGTTCAAAAAAGCTCTCTCACCTCAAAGGGGTTCTGTCATTCTCTCATGGTACTAAAAAGAACTTTCACCAGCTGCTAATGATTCTGTAGCTAGCAACTGTGGCCATGGTTCTCAAACTTCTGCAAGCGCTGGGGTTACCTAGAGCCAAATTGTATCCCCAGGATCTCTGCTCATTTTCCATTCAGCTGGTGTCAGAATATTTGCATTTCTAATACATTCCCAGGTGAGGCTGTGGCTTTGAGCTATATTAATTTTTGGTTCATAGCAAAAATTAATCAGTGAAAGCTGTTCTGTTGTGAATAGGAACAGGATTAGCTTACAGAGGCCCAGTTATGTATCAGAATTATCAATTAAAATGCAAAATAGATAAACTCAGTTATGAAATTTTTCTTGCCAGTGAGGTGGCACATGCCTGCTTGGAAGATGAGGCAAGAGACCCTATCTCAGTAAGTGCTGGGGATGTAACTCAGTGACAGAATGCATGTTTACTATGCATGAAGGTTCAGTCCCTAGTAGTGTGTGTACATGTGGGATGGGGGGTTGTGATAGGCAGATGTGATTAAAATGACTAATGAAAGCTGGGCACGGTGGCACACACCTGTAATCTCAACACTTTGAGGCTGAGGAAGGAGGATTTCAAATTTGGAATACAGACTGGGAAACTTAAATGAGACTGCCTCAAAATAAAAGCAGGTTAGGGATGCAGCTCAGTGCCAAGGCTGAGTTAGCAAAATCATACAGTGTGGTCCTCTATGTTTAACTGCTATCATTTGGCATGTCTGAGGCTCATCTATGGAGTAACATATATGAATACTTGGTTTTATTGCTAAAGGACAGCCCATTGTATGGATGAAACAATTTTTATTCATTCATTCACCATTTGGTAAGACATATGGGCTGTTCCCTGGTTCTGGCTATTATGATTATACTAAAATATTCACATGTAAGTCTTTGTTTTGTTTTGTTTTGTTTTGTTTTTGTACCAGGAACTGCATTAGCTCAGGCTTGCCAGGCAAGCACTTATGCCACTGAGCTACATCCCCAGCCACATGTAAGTCTTTGTATGGAATGTTTTTATTTTTCTTGGGTACATACCTAGAATGAAACTGCTAAGTTATATGGTAAGTTTCTACTTTTTAAAAAAAGTACAGGGGATCAAATCCACAGCACATGCTAGGCAAGCACGCTACCACTGAGCTACATTCCCAATCCTATGTGTAACTTTTTAATAACCTGGCGAACTATTTTATAGAGGACCATTTTACACTCTTACCAGCAAAGTGTGAGGTTCTAGTTTGTCTCTATATGCCCCAACATCTGCTACTGTCTTTTTCATTATACCTATCATGGTAGGGGTGAAGCGGTAGCTCACTGTACTTTTAATATGATTTCCCTGAGTGAAACTGCTAAGGTTTCACTTAATGATGTTGATTATTTGGTCAATGGGCTTATGAGCCATTTGTACATTCTCTTTAGAGAACTATCTATTCAAATTCTCTATTAATTTTTAAGTTGGGATTTGTTGTTGGGCTATAAGAGTTCTTTATATGTGCTCAATACTGGACTATTAGCAGATACATGATTTGCAAATTTCTTATATTCTTTGGGTTTTCTCACTTTCTCTTTGGAGGAGAGGGACTGAGCTACATCCCCAGCCGTTTTATAAAAATTTTATATTATTTCATTTTTATGGTACTAGGGACTGAACCCAGGGCCTTCACACTGAGCGACATTCCCAGCCTTTTTTTACTTTTTATCTTTGAGATAGGGACTAAGTCACCAAATTGCACAGGGAGGGCTTCAACTTGCAATCTTCCCACCTCAGCCTCCTAGAGCACTGGGATTATAGATGTGCACTACTATGTCTGGCTTATTTTTAGTTTTTGAGGCAAAATCTCAAAGTCTCAGGCTTGCTTTACATTTTAAATCCTCCTGCCTTAACCTCTCCTCACTTTTTTGATACATAAAGGTTTTTAATTTTTTTTTTTTT